TAGGATAAATTTTATAAACAAACATCTGGTTTTAATATGGGTGAAGCATTATCACGATTATTAGCTGAAATTTTGCTTAATCATTTAGAAAAACATAAGCTTATCAACAACGTAATCTATATAAACCATTGCATATTTTGGTATAGATATGTAGATGATGTTCTTTGTCTTTTTAAAGGTTCAGACACTGAAATTCATACTTTCTTAACTTTTAGGTATAAACACTTGGCATCTTAATATTAAGTTCACTATGAAAAATCCACAAAAAATTCTTTACCTTTTTTAGACATCCAACTTCACACCACAAACAACAAATTTGAATTTGAAATTTATAGAAAAGCTACACCTTGCTCTGCTAGGTTCATGGACATGTGGTTTTTCACCATTTTTTTTCCTTTATTAGCACCTTACACTATTTATTACATTAAGTGGACTGTATTCTTACACCTGTGCTTACTAAACTAACTTAAGCCTAGAAAAATGAATATATAAAGCAAGGCGGTTATAGGAATAGGGATTTGTTAGGTTTAATGTGAAAAACAGTAAAGAAGCAACATTTATATTAATTCAACAGGAACAATTAAATAATTCTAAATTACAAAAATGCGGTACACACTGACAGATAAAAAACTTACTTCTATTATTTTACTACATACACACTTTGATATTCAGTAATTAACTTATACTATAGGTATGTAAATAATTAAACAGTGTATTCTAACAGGATTCTTACTGTTTGTATTTTGACTACCCAGACCTTATTCTGAATTCAAGAGGGTGTAACTGAACCTCTCACTAACACTATACCCCCAACTAAGTGATGTTTCGACCACATTTTCCAAAAATCTTGCCTCAATTTCCATCAGCAATGCTGCCAAATACCGTGCGATCAAAAATGAATTGGTGTTGAGTGACCTTTCGCATTTTTGTTTACATGGGAAATCGTACTTAACTTAAACTTCCAAAGGCGACTCGACAACAGCTCATTTTTGATCGCACCGTATTGCGACGATTAAGCGGCAATTGTGATAGGTCTTTTTCTAGAAATGAAGATAGTGGTTGGCCCATTATGAAACGCCAAGTTAAATCGGAAATCGAATCTGACACATGAATTTACAATCTTTTTATGCCAGCTTCCCACAATCCACCCCAGTGGTATAAACTTCCGTGGCTACAAAATCCTGAATTTTGCAAGGGTGTTCTTTAAAGAAACACCATGCAAAGCAGTAATTGCCCATTTGAAATTTGTCGTATTGTCACTACTGATAGAAATAAGATTGGCCCCCCGAGAAACAAAACGTTTTAGTGCTATAATAGTATAAAATCAAAAGTGGACACACTACTATTACTAACTAATTCAGTGTGTATGGATTTGCTAGCTATAGTAGCAGGCCCGTAGCCAGGGGGTGGCCAGTTGGGGCTGAGGCATAGAACGTAGTCTTGCCCCCACTGATAATTATGGTTGATGGTTCCTTTACAAAAATTACAAAGGAAATCTGTATCTAAGCCCCCCCTACAAAAATACCGGCTACCCCTGCTAGTTCATTCTGGCTACGGGCCTGGGTAGTAGTGCAATATAAGATTTCATCACTCGTGCCTTACGCAACCGTGACTCTTTGACCATTATTGGACCTCCAAAATCGAGACAGGTGTACAAAAACGCACTAACCAATTACTCTGTTCGTCCATAAGCTGCTAAATCGGTGACATTTCACGCACCAAAGTACAATTGCCTTTGTTCTTAGCAAGGACCTTATAGGCCAAACTCGTTGTCGTCTAGGGCCAGCGTGACCCAACCTTAAATGTTCACTTTCAATAATATAATATAAATGCTTAGCATCAAATAACAGAGGAGCATTTTCTAATTGCCCTCCTACCCTTTTTGCATTCGAGCTTAAAAGGGTTCAGAGACAGAAGTACACTATTTTGTGGCAGTGACTTATTTTCTTTTAAACATGATATCCGAGTATTACGAGGGCGTATCTTCAGAGGGCAAACCTCATACTGTACACCATGGTGAATAAATAATTATTTTGACAATTTCCATATAATTTAAACTTATAATAATTAAATTACAAAATAACGAAATTGCTCTACAAATTTTATGGTTATTATTTAAACAATACAGTTAGAGATAATCATCGAGAAACGCTTTAGTCCAGGCTAAATAGCTCTAAAATGATTTATTTTCAAAAAAAATTAGTTACCGGGAGAAACCGGGTTTTTCAGGCAGGTGAAATGAATAAAAATTGGGAAAAAATAATTGAAACAGCTGAATTTTTCCGCGGGTGAAATCACGGGGGTTGAAAGGGGTGGAAAGTGGTATTTTGCAAAATTGTGGCAAAACTATTGATTTTAGACGAAAATGTTAAATATAAAAGTTATAGAGATTAAAAAAATGAGCAACTTTGTATCTGCACTATTTTCACATAACCTCCAATTTTCCTAGAAAAACTGGAAAAACTATTTTTTTCGTTTTTATTCTTATTTTTGCGAAAAAATGTCGTAGGGGTTTGAAATTTGGAGGTAACATAGCCTGTTTTATGATAAAACAGAAGATAATTGTTTGGGCCCATAAAGTTGAACCGTTTCCAAGATCTCACGATTACTGTAAAAAATCACCTCTTTTTCAAGGGGATGAAAAATCTATTTTTTTTCATCGTACAGAGGTGCGCGGGGTAGCAAAATTTTCGTAACGACTTACATTTTAATAATCAAAAATAAAAAATATTATTCCAATAGAAAAATTTTAAGGAAATCGGCAAAAACGGGGGGAACAGTTTTAAGATAGGTACACCGTTTTTGACGCAGTAGGTAAATAGGCTTTTTTGCAAATAAATTAACGTGTTGGATCCGCGCTAATAAAAAGTTTTGGAAATCTGTCTTCTCTGTCCTCTTTAATGTTGCTAAAGTGTTTTCTTTTGTTTCCCAGTGCCCAACTGCCTTAATTAAAACATCTTTATTATTTCTTTTTTCTGCGAATTTTTACTGCAATAAAAGCAATTCGAAGTAAAATCGAATTCTTTTGCTTCCTGGACAATTTGTTTTCGTTCACTAACTCTTCTTCCTGCCTGTTTTACAGCTGATGGGATTAAGCTGAGCCTGTTGATCGTTAATTTACAGGAATTATGAATAAAATCCTCATAAAGTTTATTCCAGGTTTGACATCTCAAATCATTTGCTTTGGCCGGTAAAACCAACGTTCTTATTGCAGATTTTACAAGTTTATCAACAGGCCCAACGCAATTGCATCAACTATAAAAATAAGCAGGAAGAAGAGTCAGTGAACAAAAACAAATTGTTCGAGAATCAGGAAGCAAGATAATTCGATTTTATTTCGAATTGCTTTTATTGCGGTAAAAATGCAGAAAAAAGAAATGAAGATGTTTTAACTAAAACAGTTGAGCATAAGATAACAAAAGAGAATATTTAGGCAAACATTAAAGAGAGGGAAGAAGACAGATTTCGAAAAAATCTTTATTAACATCCAACATGTTGATTTATCATGTCAAAAACCGTGTATATCTTAAAACTGTTTTTCCGGGTTTTGGCGATTTTCTCGAATTTTTGCTATAGGAATAATATTTTTTTATTTTTGTTTATTAAAATATAAGTTTTCCCGAAAATTTTGCTAACCCGCGCACCTCTGTACGATAAAAAAAATAGATTTTTCTACCCCTTGAAAAAGAGGTGGTTTTTTTCAGAAATCGTGAGATCTTGGAAACGGTTCAACTTTACGGGCCCAAAAAATTATCTTCTTTTTATCATAAAACAAGCTGTTTCCTCCAAATTTCAAACCGCTACGATTTTTTTTCGCAAAAAATACGAAAAAAACAGTTTTTCTGGTTTTTCTAGGAAAATTGGAGGTTATGTGAAAATAGTGTAGATACAAAAGTTGCTCATTTTTTTAATCTCTATAATTTTTTCATTGAACATTTTCGTCTAAACAATTCTCAAAACACCACTTTCCACCCCTTTCAACCCCCGTCATTTCACCCGCGGAAAAATTCAGCTGTTTTAATTATTTTTTCCCAATTTCTATTCATTTCACCTGCCCGAAAAACACGGTTTCGCCCGGTAACTAATTTTTTTCATACAAAAATATTATATAGCCTGGACTACTTGGGAATGTCCACATCATAGTGGCGTCTTGTCAGAAAGTTCACCCTACCTTCAATTTTGGAGTGTAATTTTTGTTAGATTTGATCGTTTAGCTTAAAAAATATTCTTTCAATTTAAGTACCTTTGTTTTATACCAATCGATTCTTTATAATTCTGTCATTTCTTATGGATTGGTCGAAGAACTGCAAACTGTGGTTTCGCATAAATGCGAAATTCTGAAGTTTTTAAAGTGTGTTGTTTGGGGTGGGTCAAATTCTACTGCCACCACCAACTGCAGTCATTTAGGGTGTTCAAAATGAATCGACACTTTCGGCTAATATGGAAATATGATCTTCGTCTAATTGTGCACGTTTCTTCATCAATACTAATGCGTGTGTCCTCAAATGATTCATGAAAAATTGCGTTATGCAATTATGTCGACCCTACAAACATACCTCAATTTACACCAATCGCGCTCGTTTTCGAAATCACCGTATGACACCAAATTGAGCTTCTTATGAATGAAGCACGTAACTTCTTGTGCAACTGGGGAATTCAATCTCTTTCCTCAGCCGCTGGAAATACCCATTTAGCAACCACCTTCGCTCTTCGATTTAAACAATTTCAGGTCATCGACTGCGACCGACTATGGTCTAGTACGCACTTTTTCTTCTAAAACTAGAAAATATGCAATTAACGCGAAATATATGGGGCGATCTGCTAAGTTGGCTACCGAAATTGATCGAGAAAGTGAGCGCGATGCGAGAAAAAGGGGTAGCAGCGTGTAACGAAGGCGTCCGGGTTGAGGCAACCTGCAAAATCCGGGAAAATACCTTTTCGCATCAACCCCCTACCCGTTGCAGTTATGGGCTTGAGGTATGACGGTATAAAAGTCAAATTCGGTGATATACGGTCATCAGTGAGTGTAAGGAAGACGTAGAAAGTGAGAACCCACACGAGGAGGGAAGCTATATAATTACCATCCGGTGAAAAGAGTTTCTTCAGTTTTAATTTTACTTCATTGTGTTGTGCACTCAGGGGGACAATTATTGTTGAAGGTAAGTGTGTAAATTTCCTATTGTCTTGAAATCGGTGCAGTGTTAAGTGTGATAATGAACTGCGATGGCCATGACCAGATGTGAAAGTGGCATCTTCCTTTTCAAATCTTTAGGTACTCGTTGTATGTAAATGAAGATTGAGTTTTACGTAACAACTTTCATTTACATGTTGTATCGCACTGGAGAAATTCTCTTTAAGTGCAAAGATTGATTTAAATCCACGTAATCTCGTGTAAAGAAAGCGGAAAGAAAGTAAAAGCGATTGTCCCATAAATATCCACCTACGAAGGCGTTGTCAAAGTTTCTCTTTGTGGTGCTCATTTAAATTTTTGTTGTTGCAGAGATGCGATTAGTGTTTTTGATTTCGGCCCTTTTGGGGGTCTGCCAGTTCGTTCGCGCCGAAAATGCCTGGTCATGGAATAACGAGGACGATTTTAAACCCTCTGGCAGTTTAAATCAAGATGAAATTGAGGCAGCCGAATCGTCCAACAGTAATTCGACGGTTGTCGAAGACATCGTCGACAGTATCCTGTCATCAACTCGACAAGGGAGGAACCTCGACGGTTTTGATGATTTATACGGAGACCCAAGTGTTCAGGAGGTTTTGCAAAAAGGTGACGATCGCGAGGCACGAAATATCATAAAGGACAAACTATGCTCGCTTGGTTTAATGCAGGTACTTCAATGGTTAATAATGGGTTTGTTTTACAAAGATAATTTTTTAGTGCGATGGGGAGGTTATCCAGGGCAAACGTCCGTATATTTCACCGGAAGATCTGGTGTACGCGCAACCTGTCGATATTAAGCCAATCGGCCGTCCCATTCCTTCAATTCCAGTTAAGCATCCCATTCGCAACAATCACTATGGCCCACCGAGACCCGTGTCCATTCCCGGAAAATTTGGACCACCAGCTAGCCCAAACACACCGCCGCGCCGAGGGTATGGACCACCATCCAAACCACTCTACTCGTCACAATCTGGAAAGCCCTTCATTAACGGGCCCCCGATTGGAAGCTACTACGAAGAATCTGAAGGTTTCTTGTCTAAACCTCCCGGTCCATTTTTCTCTCAGCCCATCGAACCTGACAACGCATTTGACTACGATCAAATCTCTTCTGCGCATCACTCTTCATCGCATCATGATAAGAAACCGGTGGAGGTGGTCATTAAGACTCCCGCCGGGCCGTCGGGTTCATTACAGCAGCACGTTCATCACCACTTCCACCACGCTTCGGGAAATCCCAACATTAAAGTGCCAGTACAATCCCTTGTTGCCGGCGCTGATGTCCTAGCGGCGCAAGATCCACTGTTTAAACCCACACCAGGATCCTTCCACCATTCAAACTCGGTCTACAACAATTACCGACAGGAATCAAATAAGTTCAACCCATCCTTATCTCTCGGTGGTATCTCCGGTGTCTACGGTGGACAAACGATAGCAAGCTACGGCGGTCTTGGCTCCTACAGCACGAAACCCGTAATGGAAAATTACTCGCCTCAATCCTTCGACTCGAACAGCTTCGGCGCCTCGGTCGGGCTCTACGGAAATTCCGGCCTGTACAAAAAAGAACTGAACATCAACAGTCCGCTACAGTCGAACTACCTCTACGCCGGAAACTACAAGGGGGCCGAGTCCGCTCGTGGCGAAAATTACGATTGCGTTTGCGTGCCTTACAATCAGTGCCCTTCGCATGACATCATTGGGCGGAAAGATGACTTGTACCTGGCGATCGACCCTAGGAATTTGAAGAGCGACATTGACGCCCTCACTGAAGAGCGAGTCATCACAGATGGAAATGGTACAATGACCGTAGTACGCGTTCCAAAGGCATCAGCAGCTGAGGTGACCGAAAAGAGCGTGACTAAGCGAGAGGTCAAGGACGCCAATTCCACCAAGGTGGAAGCGGTAAGTATCTCAATTGCACTAACCAATCAATAACTCCTCTCAGTGCCTTTCGCATTAATTAGTTGCAGGTCTCACACATCCACCGCCCTCCTGCTTCTCCTGTTGTTAGTCACTAACACCTGCTAGGGGTGTTGGTTTTGAAATTTAAGTAAAGCGGTGCGTTGTTACAGCGCCAAGGCATTAATGACAACAGCAAAGTGAAACCAACGTTCGGAGTATCATTTGGTTTACCCAACCAAGGAGGCGGTGGATACCCTTTGAATCCCTACGGCCCCTATCCACTAGTCAATCCCTACGGTAACACCTTCGGAGGTGGAGGCATCAACTTGGGCTTGGTATCGGTTAACCCACTTTTATCGATTCAAGTTTCCAAAGACGACTACGGCGAGAAAGTTGTAAAACCGTTTGTCAACCTGCACGTAACTCCCAATGACTTTGTCGTGCACAAATTGGATCACCTCTTTTCTCTCAAGAAAGAGGCGCTCTTTAACAAGTTTCACCATGCTCCCGTTTATCACGGGCCTCCCGTACACCACGGGCCTCCTATACATCACGGGCCATCTCACTACGGACCGTCTAAACCCTTCCTTTACGGTCCGCCTGAAACCGCCGATTACGACTACGGTGAATACGAAGGTCACCACCATTACGCTCCAATTTACGGGAGCGACTACGAAGGTGGGTATGACGACAATTTCTACGGGCGTTCCTACGAAAACGGTACGCGTGGAGGAAAAAGTTTATATAACCACCACCAAGCTCAGTACAGCAACGGTTTAGGCCAGTACAGTGAGAACTACAACACGTTCCTAAGCCGTAGAGGCACCACCTCATCTAACCCCGTAAAATTCCCCACAAGTCGCCGTAAGCGACGCGATACCGCAAAGGTGAGAGGAGCCAGTCGAACAACACCCACATCTCCAGTTCACGAACCGTCAGTAATTCGCTTTAACTATTTCAGAGACAAGCCAATTACTACGGTGGTAATTATGGCAAACCGACAGTGTGCGGCCCCCGGCACGTCTGCTGCAAAAGACCGCTGCGACCGCAAATCCCAACCCCAGGCTTTGGCAACCTGCAGCAGTGCGGAACGCGACACTCCCAAGGTATCAACGGGCGAATCAAGAATCCGGTCTACGTGGACGGTGACAGTGAGTTCGGCGAGTACCCATGGCAAGTGGCAATCCTAAAGAAAGACCCTAAGGAAAGTGTCTACGTATGCGGAGGTACTCTGATCGATGACTTGCACATAGTAACCGCCGCCCATTGCGTCAGAAGGTTAGTGGTCCCCTCTCCCCATTCGAATAACCAACCAATGTATTTCAGCTACTCCCCTTATGATCTACGGGTTCGTTTAGGTGAATGGGACGTGAATCACGACGTAGAATTTTACCCGTACGTCGAAAGAGACGTATCAGCAGTCGAGGTTCATCCGGAATTTTACGCCGGAACGCTGTATAACGATTTGGCACTCTTGCGAATGGACAAACCTGTCGATTTGGGTAAAAACCTGCACATAAGCCCGGCGTGTTTGCCGCATCCGCACGAGGACTACACCGGTCAACGTTGCTGGACGACAGGTTGGGGCAAGGACGCCTTTGGAGAGTTTGGAAAGTACCAAAACATACTGAAAGAGGTCGACGTGCCCATTATGGCTTTCGGACAATGCCAGCAGCGGTTGCAGCAGACGCGCTTGGGTTATGAATTTAAATTGCATCCAGGTTTCATTTGCGCCGGAGGAGAGGAGGGTAAGGATGCGTGCAAGGGAGATGGTGGTGGACCGATGGTGTGCGAACGAGGGGGTACTTGGAGGATTGTTGGCGTCGTCAGTTGGGGAATTGGATGCGGACAGCCTGGAGTTCCTGGGGTCTATGTTAATGTCGCCCACTACTTGGACTGGATACGTCAAACGACGCAGAGATTTAAGTAATTTATTTTAATGTTAACGTGTTGTTTATTTATATTAGATTTAATAAGTAATTTATTTTATTTTGAGTATTTCTGCGCAATCGCGTGGATTTTAATCAAATTGGATGTAAGATGTCCTTCAAGTGTAATGCTTCTAGCATGTCAGTGACAATAAGAACTTGAAATTATATGATTTGCTTTTTATTAACGATCCTCGAAATGGATTTTGTATTTCTGTCTGTCTGTCTGTCTGTGCGCCCGTATGCACGATAACTTTATTTATAACCGTTCGATTGCTTTGGCACACATGCTCGAATGGTCCCTATTGTTTTTCAGCTACGTAGACTATCGGGCCAAAAAGTTGCAGCCCAAAAACGATCTCGAGGATCGTGCGGTATTCGATTGTATGGGATTTTTCATTTGTTATTCGTTAGGTTTTCGGTATTTCGGTTTTCAAATTTGTTCATGGTGGCTAACAGTTGAATTTTACACCATTCAGCCGTTTTTGTTATTTGTTTTTTATTTTTCCTTTCCCTGTTATTGACAGACATAGAAAACATGCTACCGTTTCCCTCTTTCTACTATTTTGACAATTATGCACAATTTACTAATACGTCTATGATCTGTTGGTTTTTTTTTTAATATTTGGAAAACGATCAATGGTGCAGTATGTGTATAATCCAAACTGAACTTAATTTTTACTTAAAAAATCATTCATTTAAACCATAGCTGGGCAGTATTCGATTTTGTAAATACTTTTTAGTATTCAAATCCTTAGAAGTATTCAAATACATTGTAATTAAATACCTTTATGGAAGAAGTAGGTATTTGTATTTGTAACTCAAATACTTTCACAAATATTTAGTATTCGAATACTTTGCATAGTATTTGAATACTTAACCTTCCTTTTTTATCAAAAATCGACTAGTCCAAATGTTATAGACTAGAAACCAATTTCGAAAGAAAATTCAAAGGGCTGTAACTTTTGAATTAGTAGCCCAATCTTGGAACTGTTTGAAATTATGGATTCTACAGGCCACGTTCTATAAGAAAATTTTTTTCCGGGTCGATCTGAGACAATTTTTTCTTCGAGCCTCAAAAAAAGGCAGGTTATAGCCTTCCTTTTTTACCAAAAATCGACTGCACCAATATTTCTCGGGAAAACACTTTTTCGTATTAATTTTGGTGCGTAGAATCCAAAACAATTCGTACGTTTTCGATTAGACCTCTCAATAAAAAGTTATGGACGAAAAACAAATTTCGAAAAAAATTCAAAGGGTGGTAACTTTTGATCTAGTAGCCCAATCTTCAAACTGTTTGAAATTATGGATTCTACGGGCCAAATTCTATAAGAATCGATCGCGCGTTTCTAAACAAACTATCATGCACACTGACAAACGGATGGTCAAAAATGGACCTGTTCCAAAATCGTTAGGATTTCAGAAAGGCGTAGGTACGTATCATGTGCACGACGTACGATTCGAATACCTTTGAAAGTATTCGAATACATTCTAAAGTATTTGAATACTTATTTTTTAAAGTATTTGAATACTTTTCAATGTATCTGTATCTAGTATTGGCTTGTGCTGGACGTAAAAGTATTTAGTATTCAAATACCTTTGATAATAATAATAATAAGGTCTTTATTAGATGACGATCTAAAGGGCGAAGTTCACCAAGGGGAAACATCGCCACCAAGTGATTTGTGTAAAGTATTTACTATTTAGTATTCAAATACTTTTTGAAAGTATTCTGCCCAGCTCTGATTTAAACCTTACCTACTTACGTTACCAATTCCATAAAAACTGTTTTATTATACAAACTATAAGTAATATCACCCCCTGTGGGTTCGGGGGTAGAATTGACCCACTCCCGCTCTGGAGATCGTAAGAGGCGATTAATGGGCAAGAGAGGTGACCGTCCCAACCGCCTCTCTTACCTACCCTTATTTCATTTTCCTACTTATACCTTTGCCAATCATCTTTTCTAATTCATATGCTTGTTTTACTATTGCATGAGGTAGGACGGATCAGATTCGTATTTTTCCAAACGCGAAGTAGGGGGGGGGGGTGTTGTTTCAGTTAAAAGGTTACATGTGGACCTTTTAAACATAATCAACCAAAACATAGGTCGACATGAAAATAAAAACGAATTTTCCTAAAAATTTCGTAATTCTAAAATAACGAGGGGTTGCATTATTTAGTACCTACCTACGTACCAAAATTAAAAATATTTAAGGAGCTATACAAAAGTTACACTCTCTTAAGTTAGTAGACATGACAATTAGCTTAAATTTTGGCTGGAATAGTGTTTGCTCACAAACAAAACATGAAATTTGGTTGTAAAATCTTGTCCTATACAATGGCTTGCACTTTATATTACAGGCAGAATTAGGAATAAGACCTCCAAATGGAAAGTAACCAAAATGAAGATGAAAATGCAACAGCCTTCAACCAAAACTATAAATTTGACCGTCAAGTCTCCCTCCCCTAAAGAGATTTAGCATTTTTGTCACTGAGAAGCATGTCTCTTTTACTGTTTTTACAGAATAAAGCAGGATACTTGCAAAGCAAAAGTAGTGATCAAAAAGAAGATGGCACATAAATTACTACGCCCTTGTACATATTCCACTTTCTCTTGCTATTTAGCCACTTCCATATTGACACACAAAGGAAATATAACCTCACTTCCCTCTAAACATAACCAATAATTTTCAAAATGCCCATTAAATACATCGGAAAATCAATTGATTTCAAAGGAAAAACATTATGGGAAATACTAGGCAATTTGAAAAACTTTGGTGTGGGTCGATTAGTAGCAAGAAACATGTTCGAGAGATATCCGGAACCGTCCTACATAAAAATCATGAAGGTGGAAACTGTGCCGAATCCGGAGACAAATACTCCCGACGTAATTGTGTGCGGGGGTGTATACCTTTTAATCCTTACGATACTTTTAGGATGTTAGAAAGGTGAGAGTGTGGGTGGAGAAAACCTTCCGCGGACGTAAATCGCCCGAACTAGTCGAGATGTTCGCGAATACGTACAAGGCCGATTATAAACTTATACCCAAGTGTGAGGAGGAAGACTACTGTAGGTGCGACAATCCTAAAGTTGAGTACAAAGTACTACCGAGGACGACGAGTTTTCCACCTTTATTAAGAGAGCTCATTGTGCGTGAGATGAAAGAGAAAGGTGAAGTCGTCGAGGAGCCGCAATTAACAATTGTGTATAACAAAAATGAGGACTCCCGATACAGAGCCGCTGAAGGTGATGAAGTACCTACGGTGGCATTTCAAGAGAGCTTCGGCAAAGCAGTTACTTCAACATTATAACGTTAACTTTGCAAAATATTTATTGTTTTTAGTTTGTTTTCTTCGCGTATAATCTGAAATTGTTTTTTTAGAGTATGTTATTGACATATTACATTGTAGCACCTTCCAAAATTGTCTCATTTCTTGCACATCCCTCCTGGACCTTGTCCAGTGCCCTCGCATGTATGCCTGTATTTTTGTAGCGGCGTAAATTCTGCTCCATACCCATGACAGTGGAAAATATGGTCTAGGACTAACTTTTAGTAGTAAACAATCAAGTGTAAGGAATTACTTATCGCCAAGCCACTGTACAACCCAAGGCATATCGAAAATGTACACCCGAGGGTTGTTTCTCTCTAAATGATGGGGGTTTACATTATAGAGCTGTTCTGCAATGAAATCAAGGGCGTTAAATGTACTTTTTTGGTGCTAAAACACGGTTTGTAAAGATAGAAATTGTGATTATTGTCGGCACCTTCACACAATCCAATTCTTTAGCTTTATTCAGAGTATCTACTAGTATGCCTTTCAAGAATGGGAATATGTGGTCTTCCAAAAATTGTACCGATGGATCTGCAATATGAATTAGTTGAGCTTGTCCACCTGGCCAAGTACATACTGGAGGGTACATCGCAAGAGGAATGTTTCAATGCTCTGTACTCTTCGATCTCGGATCTTTGCGCATTAAAATCTGCGTCAATTTTTTCCCAAATTATCTTGTGTGATACAGGAGTGTCTTCGACGAGTTCGTCTGCATCAATTTTTTCCAGGTCTTCATTTTCGGACGCTGGTAGTTCTGTATCACTGAGAGGAACTTTCGCCTCTGTGACACAATCGCAAATTTTTGAGCTATTCATTTTTGGCGTACGTGCTCAAAAAACAAATCACATTCTTTTGGCCTACTAATTTCAATAAAAATGGTTTGCTGAGAAGCATACCTACTAACATGTCTCAGTACTTTCACTGGATGAGATGCAGAAAGATTTGGAGCCTCCATCATGGACCAACTGTACTGACCATATAAATAGGGAATTTTTGAGAAAATCAAAGAGGTGAAGATTTCTAAAACGATAAAGGGGTATTTTTACCATTGAGTGAATCAACTTTCACGAAATGGTTAGTTTCCCTTTATTGTCTTGTATAATACAAAACTTTATTTAATACCAGAAGCCACACAAATCATTGTAAAGCTTCTGACAATTCTGAATTTAATTTAGACGTCAAAAATAGCAAGCTTAGGTTCTGCCATCGCGGTCCTTTTCATTGAAACAGCATTGTTATAAATGTTCTAAACGTCATTTTGTATCGTGCTTCGCGTCCCATTTGAAATAACAATGACAGATGTCATTAGAATGCACAATCATCTGTTTCACTTTATCTACCCTTGCAGTTAAAGTGATCACTTAATTAAAAAGCGACATTTAAACCTATTAAAATATGAATCTAATAACATCTGCTATAAAATAAACAAATGAATTTATTTAATTGCTAATAAATGACACATGCATACTATAATTAACATGAGAATTATATTTTACGAACACAACAAAAAAATTAATCGATATTATGTAGATCATTTCTTTTTAAAAAAATTCATCAAAGTAGGTTGGTTCGTGGGCACCGCCTTTTTTCCTTTCTGCGCTTTACCATTAACAGCCTTTTCATTTTTATTCACTTCGGATTTGTCACCTTTCTTTTCTTCCACTTTTTTCACCTCAACCTTGGCAACATCCCCTTTCTCACTGACAACTTCGGCCTTCTCCTCATCTTCCGACCCGCTCACCTCCACCCATTCTTTCCTTGTAACTAAATCACAATCAGAATCAATAAGCAAATCTTATCAGAAACTCACTAACGTATCCCTCTTCATCCTCAAATGTTTTATCGACGAGCTTCCGCTTTTTATTCTTAGGTGCAGGTTCGGGTTTTGCGACCGGTTCATCTTCCTCAGAATCTTCTATCACATTTTTACGCTTCCTAGACAGTTCCTCCTTCTCCTCATCGTCACTGGCAAACATATCTGCGAAGTAACTTGCTGTATCAATAAAACGAACACGAATACGTACCTTCGTCGGATTCTTCCTGTACAACAATGCGCTTGCGTTGCTTCGAATTAGTGCTCTTCTTTGTGCTTTTTCTTTTTTTGCTGCTGGTTGGCTCAGGAGTTGGTTTTACAACATCTGAGTCATCATCGCTGTCGACTAAGTGCTGTATACTACTCGTAATTTCACTGTTTCTGGTTTCCGTTTTAATTGAGTCAGTAGCCTCTGTGGTCGACTTGCTCTTTGGTTCCACATTTTTGAACAGCTCAGCCACACTTGAACCCTACGAAGGCGCTATAATGAGAGTGACAAGATTTCGACTCACCTTGCGCGACGATCCCGGCTTAACGCTCGCCGATTTCGGGCTGTGCTTAATCCCATTCTCAACAACAGGTATTTTAGGTGGAACCTTCGTAGGTGGTGTCGGTTTAACAATGGACGTAACAACTGGTTTGGTTTTTAACTGTCGTTTAATACAATTACTACTAACTATTGAACCTTTTCTGCAACAATAAGAAGTACTATAAACTTTCAGGTGTATCCGCTTACTAACATAGGACTCTCACGCGACTTACTAACATCAAAACAATCGATTAAAGTTACACTATTAAAATCGATCTCTTTACACTTTTGCACGCTGTAAATTGTGCAAAGAGGCTCCCCTGTGTACAAAGCTTTTTTCTCATCAAGCTTGTCTTCTTTGACAATTGATACCGTTGGTGTCTTATGCTCACGTAAACCTGATAGTATGTAAGTGAGGGCCAGACTTCTCGGATGAGCCTTGCGGTTAGTTTCAATGAATTGATCGAGTAAAAGTTTGGATTCCTTGGCAGTGACATTGAATGTGGTGCAAAGTGACGGAACGGTTACCTACCAAAGTACGATTCATTACTGATATTGAATGAGTGTGACTCACAATTTTGTCCTCATCAATTACAAGTTCTTCTAACTTTTTGAGATGATTATTTATGGTCTCTGTGTCCATATTCATGCAATAATTCCCGCCAAGGTTAACATAACCTCACTCAAAAGTCAAAATCAAAACAAGTAGGACTGTGGTTAGTACACTCTCGCTGTCGTGGCTATATTAGCGCCTTTTCTTCATAAGGATGCGTCCTCATAACCAAGTCGCACACATTTCTTCTCTATCCCAATGTCTTTGTTTCATGAGTCTATGAGCTCTCAGATATGCTATGATGCTGTCTATTATAATCCAAGAAGTTGTTGCTGAGATTCCGGATTTTGGTGCGCCCGGGTTTGACCTTTTGAAGCGTTTGTCGAAGAAACCAATTTCATAGTGAAAGTCGACCAGGCGCGAGATGATTATACCAGGAACCCATTTGTCCACTTGTGGGTGACTCGAGAGAAAATAAACGGCTGGGTAAAAAAACCAAAATAATGGTTCAAAAATTTGCTCGTAATAAATAGGAAAGGCTGATTTAAAAGGCGAAAAGAATTGTTTGGGCGCAAAACGGTTACACTTTGATTGACTTGGTGGAACAAAACGTGGGGGTCTTGGAATCTCTAAAGTCTATGGTAATAGAAGTACTACTAAATTTCGACGAACAATAGGTAGCCACTTTTACGAATGGTGTCATTAAGGACGGATATGAAAATGGATTTCCTTTGTTGATGGAAGAATGTCTTGGTCATATTTCGCTGCGTATCATTAATATCGAAAGCTTTTAATTTACAAATTAATCGCGACATAATAAATTTATATGGTAACATGCTAAAATTGGTACAACTTCCAAAATAGAAATAATACCTCATTACTGTTATATGAGCTTGTACAATAGATAATCGTGTTACTTCGCTTAATGAACGCGTACAGATCATTATACACTTTCACATCGCCAATATCAATCACAACGGTCGATCGTTATTAAATAGCCGTAACCGGTACTTATAATCGTACAATTTACTTACCTACTGGTACACTCTTTCATTCAATACGAAAATGTTAGACAGTTACCATTTATTCGAACTGTATATTTGTTACACAATTCATCTGGATCAAGAAATCTAGGTATGGATACCTTATGGTAGCAGAACTGGAAAAGTCATTATCATTATAAATACTATCTCTGATGCCTGTGGTCAAAATTGCATTGATCAATTACAGGTAAATCAATTCATCTGACCATCTTGACCTAAATTAGTTAATTACTGCAATTTATATTTAAGGCATACATCAGAAAGAAAACGATAAATTCAAAGGGCTGTAACTTTTGAACTAGTAGCCCAATCTTGGAACTGTCTGAAATTATGGATTCTACAGGCCACATTCTATAAGAAAATTTTTTTTCCGGGTCGATCTGAGACAATTTTTTCTTCGAGCCTCAAAAAAAGGCAGTGTATAACCTTCCTTTTTTACCAAAAATCGACTACACCAAAATTTCTCGGGAAAACACTTTTTCTTATTAATTTTGGTGCGTAGAATCCAAAACAAATCGTACTTTTTCGATCGGACTTCTCAATCAAAAGTTATGGACTAGAAACCAATTTCGAAAGAAAATTCAAAGGGCTGTAATTTTTGAACTAGTAGCCCAATCTTGGAACTGTTTGAAATTATGGATTCTACAGGCCACATTCTATAAGAAAATTTTTTCCGGGTCGATCTAAGACAATTTTTTTTTCGGGCCCCAAAAAAAGGCAATGTACAACCTTCCTTTTTTTACCAAAAATCGACTGCACCAAAATTTCTCGGGAAAACACTTTTTCTTATTAATTTTGGTGCGTAGAATCCAAAACAATTCGTACTTTTTCGATCAAACTTCTCAATCAAAAGTCATACACTAGAAACCAATTTCGAAATAAAATTCAAAGGGCTGTAACTTTTGAACTAGTAGGCCAATCTTGGAACTGTTTGAACTTATGGATTCTACAGGCTACATTCTATAAGAAAAAAGGCAGTGTATAACCCATGGTATGGACGTATGTCATATTTTTCTATGGTAGAGCTAAGTGGATGTCTTTATTACCACTACCCCAACTATTTTATGCCTTTCAATGAAAATTATGTAATTTGTTGCTTTTTAATTGCAGATTCGACGCTACCCTGCAAAATCTGTATGGAAATTGAAGGGGACACGTCTAGAGAGAGATGAGTAAGGACCTATGTCACATTTTTCAATGGTGGAGCTAAGTCGATATCATTCTTACCACTACCCTAACTATTTTTGCATTATTTTGTGTCCTTTCTATAAAAATTACGTAATTTGTTGTTTTTTAATTGCAGATTCGACACTGACCTGCAAGATCGGTCTGAAATTTGAGAGGGACACTTCTAGAGCAACATCGAGAAAGACGTGAGTAACATCTTTCATTAGGCTTGAGAACTGTAATAGAATTTATACAATTGCATTACATTATTTAAATTCTATTCCTTTGTGACTCGATGACCAGCTGAAGTCAGCTTAAGTCATTATGTAATTATAATTCTCCAGATTTCGGTGAGTCTTGTCGTTCCGTTTAGATCGAAATAATTTCCGGGAGGTACCACCTAAATTCGTTTACCTTTCCATTTTGGTAATCCTACAGCAACCCAACACTTACTGCATCTGCATGATTGCTCAGATTATACCCAGTTTAGCACTACTCCTTTCTCTAGGTACACTGGCTGCTTACTTGAAACCAGCAGTATATTTTGACTCCATCATCCAGTTTACTTTTCAATCAATTGATTGCTATAAGGGTAGTTTTCAGTGCGGTTATTCCTCTTCGTTTCTGAATAGCTTGAAGTATACCTACCTTTGATATAACCATAGTATAATACAAACAATTTTCTTATTTTCTTGAATAATAAAAAAGAAATTATCCTTTACAAATAAACCATTTCTATTTAAGTATATAAGTAATTGCAAAAATTGCCATGATGCATGGTACCAATTCCATTTGGCCCACATGTTCAGTTCCGGTTCAGTTATAACATCTTGAAAATTAACTGTATCAAGTAGAATTTCTATGAGAAATGGAGACCTGATGGTGTCTCGTTGTCGTATCAATGTTAGGTCCTTTTAGCGTGTATTGTGTTACACATTTGCGTATTATAATTAAACGAAGCGTTACTTTCCGCTCGATATATTTCAGTTATAAAAGTACAGCCGCATTTGCATACTTAACAATAATTAGAATATCGATGCGTATACAATTCGATTATAACTGTTTATAAAAATTGTAGCAGATAACTTTTATTAACCGTTTGAATTCGAAATGTAGCTGCACTACGGTAAGTGCAAGTTTCTATTCACGCAACTTGATCGCAATGATTGCCTTTTATGATGCACCAGGGAATATGAATATTATTTGACCTACGGTGGATTATGGATATTTTAAGGAATTCGCTTCTGTAATTACGCAATAACTGGTTAGGTGTACACTTGCTTTTTTAAACTTGTCTGGCGAGGTAATTACTTAATATACTTACTTACGTTTACAAACGCTAAATGCACTCACTTTTTTAAATTGAGATTAACGTGCTTTTAACTGGGCGCATTTACCTCAACCTTTCTTAAATTGCCCACCCAATTTCTTAATGTAATAAAGAAATAGACCGTTCTTAGCAGCAGCCTATGGAGATTATTATTCGAACTATGTGTAAATTTTGACTGGGGTAGGTATCCCTGGGAATTTGAACTCTATTTCAAGTTTGCTCGGAATTTTCTAGATATGGACGGATTTTCTTGAACGTTAACAGTTAACAGTAGTATCGTCTCGCCTCGTCTCGAAAGAGACGAGACCAAGGGTCAGTCTAGTCTCGTCTCGGCAATAGTCTCGACGAGACTCTTGTTTGGTCTCGAAGTTTTTTTAAAATTTTAATCAAGAAAATCTATTGAAGTAGCACGAATTCCAATTGTTTACATAAATCGTTCCTGGCCTTACTGATTTAGGACTTAATTACCATATAGGTCTTATACAACTGTAATTTTTCTTAAATCCAGGAAGCCTTCGACAGCTTTATTTTATTTTATGGCGGGCAATTGATTTATTAAACCTGTACCCTCATCAATAGCAGTATACCTGACTCAAATAATGGTAAATATTCTTTGATTTGGTTATAATACTTACTAGGATCTCGGGGATTCCTTTATATTAAAAGCCCTTAATGCTCTCATTGTATTTTCACAAGTTTATGGCAATAAATCCAATTGTTTCTAGGTATAGGTACAGTGACTCAATTAAGAACAGTGGATCAGGGTATCTCGTTTTTGATTGGTAGTTCGTTCTGGTCGTCATATTAGGGCTATAGGTACTTTAGTGGGAAGGGGTTAGTCTGGGAAGTTTTTGAAGGCATTCGGAATAATACTACCGAAAGACAACCACGTTCGGTTGCCGCAAAAAATCAATTCATTATTTTCTCACTCTTCTACAGTTACAGATGTCCATTGTCAGTGTACAGTGTTTTCTGTGTTCTACTGACACGTTTTTTATGTATTTTTTCATTTGGAATGTGAATAAATGTTTTACGCCCTCATTAACGCCCGAAAACCGAAAAATTTGGTCTTGTCATACCATATTACAGCGGATGTTGTATAAATACACATTCTCGATTGTAGCATAATTCGCGTCCGAATAATTTGCACTGAGACAATTCGGACACAGGTATTTTGCGCCAAAGATAATTTGCATCGGTACGTTTTACACTCGACTGTTTTGCACTCGCTCAATCCACACCAAAAGCAACTGTCATACAAAAAAACGATTCACAATCCATCAATTCGCGTCCGAAACAAACGCACCCGGACATATCGCACCTAGGTATTTCGCTTATCGTTCATTTCAACTCCTGGGCAATTTCGCCCTCGCATAAATAGCATATATATGGAGTTCGAATGAGGGTAACTAACTACATTTTTTATTATTTGCTTTATCTATGAAAAAATTGTTTAGCGCAGGCGGTCTTAGAGATATTGAATGTCGTATACAGGGTGTTCATTTTATTTTGTCTACTATTGCTATCTCCAAACCTATAAGAGTTACGAGATCGGGTAAATTAGCAAACAATTTTTATTTTGCAAGAGTAGCAAACAAAAAAATTTTTCTACCAGTG